AAAGAATTTAACTTTGTATATCTAATATAGGACAATAATGTTGATTAAAAATTACACCATTCAAGGCCTTTTTGTTTTCCATTTTAATTTTTAATTTGAGCATTTGTCTACCTGCCAAGTTTCCCAGCCTGGCCGTAACGGGTCTTACTACCAGCTAGAAAGTTAAACTTCCCCGAAACAATAAGATCAATGCAATAAAACAAATGAACACACTCTCACACAAAATATAAAAATAGCAAAATATAAAAACAATTATATGTAGTTTTCGCTTGTGATAATAAAAACAGGACGGGTTCAAACAGAAAGATTTAGAAAGCAGAGAAAACTGTGCACCTTATAATCAGCATGACTTTATCAGATGACAATACGAATACCTAAAATCCGGGCTAAAAATAAGGCGTAGGTACTTTATTTCAGTCATGGACCCGCGATGTCGCGAGTGTGTTCTAGTATCTTTACATTAACATGGATAAAAATAACTTGAAACGTTGACTCTTCTTTAATTTGTCTCCATTGCTGATAAGTATTTCCAATGCCAAACGAAGGAAATTACCTGTCTCAAACTATAATTTTAGAGAGAAATTCACGATTCCAGAACATATGCAACTGTTCCAGTCATAATACCGTTCGATAACTCTGCATGTTACAGGTTTGATTAAGATTATGTAATATTTACTGGTTACCCGTGTTATGAATGATTTAGAAAATTGAAAAATATAGACATTTAACCTCAGTTAAAATTGAGAATGGAAATGGGGAATGTGTCAAAGAGACAACAACCCGACCAAAGAGCAGAAAACAACCAAAGGCCACCAATGGGTCTTCAACACAGCGAGAAAATCCCGCACCCGGAGGCGGGCTTCAATTGGCCCTTAACAAAAATGTGTACTAGTTCAGTGAAAATGGATGTCATACTAAACTCCAAGACCTATAAATGAACTAAAATTAAAAAACATACAAGACTTACAATTGGGACAGGCGCAAAAATGCGGCGGGGTTAAACTGTTTTGTGAGATCTCAACCCTCCCACTATACAATAGCCAATGTAGAATAAACAAACACACAGCAATACGCACAGTAAAAATCATTCATTCGAGGTTATCTTTTATTAATTTAAAATAATATCTTAAAATAATTTCATTATGAATCTGACAAAGATTATCTACATAGGTCTTGTCAAAACTTACACCGAGATCAGGTGCCATATTTGTTTTCTTTGATAACGTCGGTGTTATATGACTTAATATCTCCTTAATCTAGCCATGTACTAGGGTATTATTAGAATGACAATTACGTGTCAAATTCAATTGCACTATAAACACTTATTAAAAATTAATTTGAATCATTTGCATGGACAAAATTAATGTCAAACATCGTCTACGTTTTAAAATAATTGGTCGCCATTTATTTCGTAAATTCGAAATTTTATCAAAACAAACAAAAAGTATCCACTTTCTCAAAAAGAAACAAACAATGTTTGATTCTATGCTGCTTTAAGGTAAGATAATGACTGAAAACGTATGCATCCAACTTTTTTCATTGATAACTAAATTAATACATGTCGTGTCGTTGTTGACTTCCGACAGCGGCCACCATTTTCAAAATATTGCTAACGAATGCCAAAATATGAACTTTTCAATCAAATTTTGAAGCAAAAACTTTATAACCAAAACTGATTTGGTTTCCGATTTATTTAATATAAATGTATTGTCGACCTTTCTAGGGGTTGGGAGGATATTATTTACAATAAATAAGTTGAGAAAATTGATTTTATAAGAAGGTCCCATTGCAATATTTTATCGAGTTGTAACGAAGAAGTTAACGAAGGCTGTGTGCTTATGGCACCTCAATTTTCAAACTTAATTTGAAGTAAGAAATCATATTTCTGAACTGAAATTTAGGACATATTTATTGGTAAATAAGAAAAATTATAAAAAAAAAGCGGGTTTGGGAGGTAAGATACACAATGTAACAAAAAGTTCGGATCGTTTAATCTATGTAGCCCGTTCATTTTCATTGACAAACCGATTAGCCATTAATGATATACAACTGAATTGTAAAAGTCACGTGATGACCGCGATATTTGGATATGATGAGTTTCTGGAAAGCTACCAGGTCGATTTAAAAAACAAGTTTCTTTCTTCGAAAAAAAAGAAAAGCAAAACGTGAACCTGATTTTTTTTATCTCTTTTGGCTTAATATTTCAAAAAAAATCTGACAAGCTGCTTTCTTGAAAGATTGATTGATTGACGTTTGCTTTATGGCGCATCAGCGTAAAAAGGCTATATCGCCGCGACATTCTTCGAGAAAGAAATGCAATACATGATTGCTTGTTTTGTTTGAAAGATTAGAGAAGAAATACATAAAGATGCATGATTTAACCTCATTCTACATATAAGATGTGGAAAACTGGCATGAATTCTAAATGAAACTGCTGTTTAATATGGAGCATATTTTTTGTTGAAGAAATCATTTCCGAAAGGTAGCACTACAACATGCAAAATAGGAGGGAACCATTTTGAGGCATTGTTTTGAATTTAAAATTCAAATGTTAATGTGAAAACAGATTTTTTAAAAGAATTTTAATGTAGTTTGTATTTGTTAATGTAGCCGGTTTGAAATTAGTTCAAAACCAAAACCTGTATTCTTATTTGTTAATCCCAATCTGTAATCGGTTTGGATACCAATTAAACCACACGGGTTTAAAGGGTTTTATTATTGGTTGTCATATATCTCAATTTATTCATTACACACTCCAATCAGTCTTTTATAATAGAATTTTAAACAGTGTGAAACCTCATCCGTTTATGAATAAATCAGTTTGTTCAAATAAATGCACCTTAATATTTCATTTCATGTCTAATCATTTTAGGAAGTCTATCAAAATATAATGAAAGAGTTGTTTTTACATGATTGTCTGCCAGATTAAAGGGAACAGGACTCACACGCAGGCAGGTTAATGCTGTTTTACGGTAAATTGGCTATTCCTTCATAAAAAAATCAATAGAATTTGAAATTATTTTGAATTTTTCTCAAGAAACTTTCATACCCAGAACTAATTTTTATTATACCTTATATCATCCAAACTTTTAATTTATGGTGTCATAGAACCGCCCACCTGGTTACCATGGTAATGGGCGACATTCAAAATTGGCGTGTGAACCTTCATGAGCCCGGCACACCCCAAAGAACAACACTAATGAATCAAAATAAAGTTGTATTTGGTTGATAAACATGTTATCTTTCCTGTAACAGCTGTTTCTTTCTTAAAATATGCCTTTTTCTAATAAAAAATATCAAAAGTTACATACAATTTATTCATGCCAACACCAAAAACCAACTTCCATGTCAATTTTAGAATTGTTGTATTCATTTTTAAAACAAGAAACAGCAATCTCGGTATTCGTGAGCTTTTCATGAATAAATATGCTAAGTTTTAAAGAGATCAATAAATATTAACGGGGTGCGCCAATGCCATCTTTATAAATGAATGATGCACAAGTCCTTTCGCGGCCACATGTAAACATTGAAATGATTCAGATTGATTATTCCCCTTTAGGGTGTCAAAGTGCCGGGAAAGAAATAGACGACATTTTGATAGTTTTTGACTTGAAATGGACACATTAAAGATGTAAAACAATATAATTTTTACCATTTTTATACTAGAATGAGTTAATGAATCTTAAAAGATCACGGTGTATACGAATGATATGACGGAAAAAAAGGGGGGGACTCTAAAGTTAGCCACCATATACTTTGTAAGATCTTTCCATTTCTAACTCCTCATATGTGTCGACTGTAAATCAAATAAACTTGTTTACTTACTTAATTCAATTCTCATAGGGTTTTTATGACTTTAAGATGACAAACAGCAATATAATCTTTCTGAAACAAACTGTTTCTCCTGATACGAAAGTATGAAGCCCATATTTTATTAATTTATGCGTGTTTCATGAGAAATATTAATCTGATCAGACCTGATAAAGTCTTTGAAAATGTTTTTTTTTTTAAACCTTTTTTAAATAGTTCACTAAAATTAGTATGGATCAGAAAACTGTCACATGTGTAAATGCATCTTTTTAGAGACAATATCTGCTTTAAGTTAGAATTTCTCTATGTTCATTTGTTGAACATGCATCATTCATTCATTATAGTCTCTTCAATATAAGACACTATTTCAATAAATTTGAAAAACAAGTCCTTTGATCCAGGATTAAAACCAGCAAAAAATTATAATACTAGGTAAATCAGTACTTATTTTCTATTGTTATAGAAAAAAAAAATAAGAGGTGAAACTATTTCTTTATTTAATAAAGTGGTATGCATGAGAAACAAATCCTTTTCTTCTTGAGTTCATTATGAGTATTAATTAATTATCAAATGCATAATGTCTATCTAAAAAGTTTCATAAAAACTTTAATGATTATTTTTCATTTCTTTCAAAATAGTTTTATCACACTTAACATCAAAAGCATTGTATATGTCACATTTATATGATAATCCTTATCACAATACCTACATTACTTTTTTGGTGGTTTTCCATTATCCATAATAAATGTAGACATATATATCATCCTGCTGATTTTCTTATGTTATTGTTCTACTGGAAAATTCTTTATTCCTTAGTATTCTTTAAATCCACATGTAATATGCCAAGAATAATCTTATACATGTAAGCACATGCAGTTATCAGCCTACCAAAATATAATGATAGAATTATAATTCTCACCTACTTCACTGTTTATGTATAGATCCAAAATTATCTCAATAACTAGCATATGATGAATAATGATGTGAACATTTTCTTTTAGTTTTATGTGTTGACATTACAAGAAAGAAGTGCACAGTCCTTTCCTCTGATTTAATACTTTCATTTCTTTGTTTTCAATGTTCCAGAGTCAGTTTGAACATGTAATTCTTCATTTTGTTGTCATAATGAAACTTGCTTCATTCCAGAGTTCACATGTGACATGGCATAGATATTTTATATTCAGCACTGTTATAGTTTTGTTATATATGTCCTCAGTTGTAAATGGTCTGACAATTTCCTTATGTATGTTTATCTTCAAATGAAACAAGTGCTTACTCTTTTTCTCTGATTACTTTTTCCAATTTCAGTTTGTAAAAACTATTATAACACCATTGCCTCCAAGTCATCTTAATACTGAAAAATGTTATAGATATTCATGTTATGATACAAATAGAAAACTTCAGTTTAAATTTTGTGTTCCTAAATCATTATGGAATTAAAGTAAACTTGAAAAAAATTCTGCATTGATTTAAAATGAACTTTCAATTTATGTGTTTTTTTGTAAAATTACAATAAAAGTTCAAACACAGCTTACTTTAACTGATATTTACCCATCACAATGCAATACCAATTTGTTATTATTAATAATGAATGTAAGTTAACTCAATACACCAGGAAAGTTATCCAGACCCTCATATACACCTAACACATGAGGGTCTGTATTGTGTTTACAGAATAGATAATAACAATTAATTGGCAAAAAGTGCAGAATGAAGGGCTAAAAAATTAAAGAATAAACAAGGACTAATAGGAAAAGAGAATAATGGGTGTTAAAATATAGAGAATGGAGAATAATGGGCAAAATAGATAAAGAATATAGGAAATGGTATAAAAAAAAGAATAAAGAAATGAAGGTCCCTCATCAAGACCCATACATTATAATATAAATGCTTACCTTGTGTAGACCTCTTGTTTGATTTTATAAAAACTACATGTCTTTAGGCATTAAAATGCCATTTTAATGTGTGCATGGTGTAAATCAATCTGCAAAAGAAGTTACAATAATTACTGAAAGGTTTCAAACTAAATTTTATACACACCAGATAGTAAATAAAGAAAATAAGATTTATGTGAATTGTTTTAAGTGATGCTTGTCAAAATGTGAAAAGATCTATACAAAGAAAGATATAGGTGCTATTTTTTTTTTTATATTTAATCAATATAACAAATAAACATCACTCTAATGACTAAAAACAGAATAAATGAATAAAGAAAAAAATTAATTGTAAAAAGAAGGGATGATTAAAAATGAAAGTATGATCATGTGATGATTATCAGATTCAAAACCATCAATGAAAAATTGTTTTTTTAATTATGACCATGATAATAAATAATAGTTCTAACATATTTTAACATCTCATGTGCCTGCCTTAAGCAATTTTATTAAAAGGAGGCAAGCCATTAGTTTGATCAGAGACATATATATCTGATGCCATGTAGGCATGTATTTTTTTTTATTTGGGTTTGTAATATGTTATACATTGGAACAAACATATAGTAAGGAAATAATTTTGCATGTTGAATCAGAGCAATCAGAAGATTCATGCTCAAAATATACTTAACAGATCTTAATATGTCAAGGTGTTGCCTCCAACATAAAATTAGAATCATGACATGTATATGAGGCGAATAAAAGGGGGTAGCGGGCCAGCATGCTGCGCGGACTTTTAACAAATTCCACTCCTTATGTTTTATCTCTGATGTCCATCATGGGCCCGTTATTTAAACATTTTGGACCCGCATCTGTGCATGGCAGGTCAGTCTGCAAAATGTCGACATAAAGTTACTTAGGCAATGGTCAATGAAGATAGGATTGTTTATAAGCGAATAGAATAGTGTTGACTTGCATTAATTATTCAAAGGAAGTTTGTCTATACAGATTGCCGTAGTCATGTTGACAGCGAAACGTGTAACAAAATAGCCCCCTTTTTAAGTAAACAATGCAGCTTTATTTACATTCATACTCAATCATCAATGAAATGAATATCGACGAACCTTGGCAGTTAAAAGGCTAAAATGATTTAAAACAAACTTACCTCAAAATATAAGCAACATCCTTCTATATTAACGTGTTTTTGTTGGACGGTTGACACTGACTTCTATCATAACAAGGTGCCCGATCAGCTGTTCGTGACAAGCTCAAACTTGACGTCGACGTAACGTTCTAGCCAATCACGTGTCGCATAGTTTAGAAAATGACGTCAGATTTAGATTTCGATGCAATCATCGAAAATCAATGCCTAATTTTTTTAAAGTGCATTAACCTGCCTGCGCAGGGACAATGCAGTATAACTCATGTCTACGAAATTTAATAAAAATCCTGCTTTGAGAACGTCTGCTCTTTGGATATGGATCTAAATTGTAAGAAAATAATTTGTTAACTAGATTGTCCTTTTTTTCTAATCAATACATCCCTTTTATGTAGGATAATTTGTTACACAATCGTTCAATATTTCGTTAAAACGCCAAAGACTTCTGTCAACTGGACCATCTTAATTAGGGTACAGATTTTATTGCGTCGCAAGGAGGCGAAGCTGTAGCGTCACATTTAAACTTTTATCGTCGTTCGCGTAACACTTTGCAAACTTGCGCTGCGACTCCTTGAGAACGAATTGACGGAATTCCAAGAAACTTGCACCGATTCTTCTTAAGGACAAGAAGTTCAACACCTGCCATTTTAACTTTTTGTCTGAGTTATTTTTCAGGGTTTCGCATACCATAATCAAATGAATTAACCTGCCATATAAAATTTTACTTTGTTGAGACTGTAGACGAAACCCATCTTCATTTGGAAGCTCACACATTTTGATAACAATAATAACATCTCTTATCTTATTAACTAATCATAAACATTTTTTTATTTTCACTTTCCTGCTATAACTTAAACAATTGCTAACATATTGCAAAAAGTAAAATAACAAAAATACCGAACTCCAAGTAAAAAATTTAAATCGGAAGTCCCCTATCAAATGGCAAAATTAAAAGCTCAAACACATCAAACGAATGGAAAACAACAGTCATATTCCTGACTTGGTACAGAAATTTCTTATTATGTAGAAAATGGTGGATTAAACCTGATTTTATAGCTAGATAAACCTCTCACTTGTATGACAGTCGCATAAAATTCCATTATATTGACAACAATGTGTCAACAAAACAAACATACATAATAGGTAAAAATGTCAAAAATAGGGGTACAGCAGTCAACATTGTGTTATAATCTTTATCACTATAAAAACAAACAAATATGTCAACAAAGAAAAACACAATGGCATATAGACAAAGCACATAGCAAAAATGAGAGACTAAAAATGAGGCGGAGGAAGCCGTGTCTGTTGTTTCTTTAATTTCTAGTTCTGGAGGATATATTAATGGAACCAAATCAGATAAGTTTGGATTGTTAATGGAAAAAACATCATCAATATATCTGAATGTGAAATTAAATGATCTGGCTTCTTTGATCTTCTTGTTTTTGACAAGTTTCTGAAGGAACTATGACTCGTATGAATATAAGAAGAAGTCGGCAAGGAGAGGCGCACAGTTCGTTCCCATAGGAATGCCGACAATTTATTGAAAAAAGTCTACCTCTAAATTCAACAAATATGTTGTCAATAAAAAAACTCTAGCATACAGCTGATCACTTGTTCCTCTGTGTAGCATGTTTTGCCTTTTTGTTCACTATTAACAAAATATGCCGTATGGTATCCCAAAGTAATAAATTTATAGCGTATGCTACCATTTATTATATTGAAAAGCATTGTGGATTATTTCTTTTAGACAATTTGTTTTTCCATTTCACATGGGGAATAGTGGTTACAGGGTTGAAAAATCAAAAGTTTTGATAGAATTAATTTCAGAGAAGGATTTAGATCTAGAATTATCCAGAAGTTCTTTAGGGTTTGTTTTAATCCACATATGTTTAATACCACTACGCGTGTAAACAGTTTCACAGTATTTCTGAAGACCCTTTTTCACTGCGGACAGAATTTTTGTCAATCTAATGGACAATTCCTTCTAGAGAACATGCAGATGAGCCAACAATGTACTGTTGTTTGTAAGGAAATTTGTGAGGCTTATGTATCCAACACAAACAAGGTAAGTTCTTAGATTTGCTGTTCAATGTAATGTTCATTGAAGCCATGAGGACTTATGATTCGCCAAAATCTCATCCTTGTCAAATGCTATTTTTTTGTATGTAGGATTACCCGACTGCTCATTTATTCCTAATTCTTTTACAAGACACTCGTAGTAGTACGATTTACATACAAAGACAATATTATTTGAAGCTTTGTCCGCAGGAATAACAACATATTTATCGTAAACAGATGATTAGACATTTTACAGCTTCTTTGTCTCTGAAAACGGACTGTGGTCGATCATTCACACAGTTTTTCAACTTATAAATTCGACGTTTTATCGGAGACCTGATTGTTTTGACCAATTCTGACAAGTGTCCAGTTCAACTTCTTCTCGTTTAGCCCATGGTCTGGCGTAGTCCTCAATGGAATCCATAATTATTTAAAAGTTATGGTTCCAATTGATGTGTTGAAGTTCTCTGAACCTAGGATCATGAGATAATACCTTTCAAACCAAATATACCGGTAGTCATGAATACATATTTAATCGCCAATTTCGAGGCGTATATCATACCTGAATTAATTTTTACCTGTGATAATATAAACGACACAAAAGTACGTCACTTTTTGTGACGTTGATTCGTTCATGTGACGCGCAGTTTATATTTCGTTTGTGGTGTCCTGGTTTGCTGTCGTAAATTCATGGGAGGTGTCCGCTGTTATTCTGCGGTTTACATGTTGTAATGTTATTTATTTATGTATTTCTTTGTGCTAAGTGGTCTTGCGTTTGTTTGTATTGTATTCCTGTTACGAAGTGTTGTCTTTTAGCGGTATTTTTAACATTGCCATATAAGCGGGAGGTTTGGCTAGCCATAAAACCAGGCTCAACCACCATTTTATACTTAAAATGTCCTGTACCAAGTCAGGAGTATGGCAGTTGTTATCAAACAGTCCGTTTCTATGTGTGTTGGCGTTTGTTTTTGTTGCAGTTCAGTGTTTATGTTGTTCCGTTGTTTTCCTCTTATAGTTGATGTGTTTCCCTCGGTTTTAGTTTGATACAAGGATTTGTTTTCGCTTAATCGATTTATGACCATTGAAAAGTGGTAAACTACTGTTGCCTTTATTTACTTTGTTTGGCCTCAATGTTTAAATTAATAGAAAGTCATCTCCCGTGACCTAAATATGTCGATTAGTTTCTGAGAACCGTTAGTATATCGCTAGAATTATTTTTAGGACTCAATATTCATTAATCTATTGTTTCGATATGACATAACTTCTGCATTTTACAAACATAAGAGATGCAATTAAATCTTTTTTTTCAAAATTTTTAGGGTTACACGTTATATAACTATTATATTTTTAGGGGAATAAGTATGTGTTTTATTTCACTTTATTTTCTATTTATTTCTATGTCTACTTTGATAAAGATTAAGAATTTTTTTCCCAATTTTTTACTTATTGAAATGATTATGGATACTCTATTAGGTTAAAAATAATTCCATTTGCAATGTTTATGTAAACAATAATCATTGTTTGAATATAAATGTTAACTTGATTTTTTTCTAAGTGACATTTAAAATTTTACAAATTTCTTGTTTGTTTGTCATCTTGCATTAACGTGAATTTTATATATGTTGCTTGAATGGACTTTGATCTTTCCTAATTCGTTCCAGCCTTTTTGATATTGCAATCAGAACTAAAGCATCTTGTGAATCTTTTCTAAACAAAACAAAAATTAGTTTACCTGAGCGAAGTCGAGACTGAGATCTATTGGAACGTCTGTGTTCTCCTCCACAGTAACACAATGACATTAAAATATCAACCTCATTCGGAAAATGCCTGTACCAAGTCAGGAATATGGCAGTTGTTCTTCACTCGTTCTGTTGATTGATAGCGTTTGATATTATCAGTTTGTATGGACTTCCGGATCCCCTTTTTTGCATTGCGTTGTAGTTCGGTATTTTTTGTTAAATTTTCATTCAACATTTCTTGATTTATGGACTTTGTGGACATGTTGTATCGGTGATTAGCTTAGTTTCGGATATGTTTTTTTAACATAATATGTATTGCATATGTCTCGCCTTCTTAATTTATCGTGATTGAACTTATGTTGAAAGTCTATAATATGCACATATACATTATGCTTATATTATTATTCTGATAAAGTGACAAAACTACAAAATGTTAACACTGGCCAATGAGCCATGAAAATAATACCAAGGTCAGATGAACCTTGCCAGACAACATGTACACCATGTGCTTCCTTGGCTATATGTATGATTTTTTTTAATTTTAGTTTCCAGCTACTAATTGACCTTTAGTACACCAGTTTGTTTGATTTTCAGACAATAAAGGAAAATCTAGCATTCCATCAGCATAAGGTACTTTAACCTTATTTCATCGGTATCCAGTTAATTTCGTTCACTTTCAAAGTGTCTTTCTGAAGTATTATGAAAAATACATAGCAATAATCTTCATGCAGATGTGCATCATGGAAAGATTAAAAAATAGAAACCTTCGAAACGCGCAGCTGGTCTTTGTCTGTTAAAAGAAAGAATATAAACGCTTGCTCTTTCAAAAAATATAATTAAAGCACATGTTTAATGAGTGACCAACCCCAGATTGGATGTATCACGTCTTCTGATCAGCTGAAAGATTTTTGTCTATCAGCTCATAGACATAATTTTGTCATGTGACCGTGACGTCATCAATGTTTTTTTCATGATTTACTCCTTAAAAATGGAATTTAGAATTAAATTATAAGGAATTACTGTAATATGTTTTATATCTATTCGAAATAACCTCACAAATGTGGTGCACACTTTTAAACCCTCGGTTTTGGTTTGTGACCCGGATTTGTTTCAGTTAAATCGATTTATGAGTATTGAACAGCGGTATACTACTGTTGCCTTTATTTAAATAACTTTTAGAAAACATATTACATTCATTCCTTAGATATAGAACAACTTAAATACGTTCAAAACGCTACATGAACATTAACCCTGCGAAACATTGCACGAGGTAGACCAGATACTCAGAGATTTGTATAATATTCAGAGAGGATAATGAAGTTTTGTTCAATGTCACATGAAATGTCTCAACCAATCA